ATCAACGTCCTGTATCGGTTTTTCGAAAGAAATCAGAATCGTATTTCTAGTTTCGGACCTGGATACCATAATTCACACCTTCAACTTTGCGGATCAATATACAGTTATTTGCAGCGATTAATTTACATAAGCACGCACATTACAATTATGAAAGCTAATTAATTATGGAATTATCATTGCGTAATAATTTGTTTGTCTAACGCATTAATTATAAATTAATCGAGTTAAATATAAAATTGATATTGTAACAAATATAAAATATTGTCTTTTTTTCTTTTTTCTAAAACTTAGTTTACACATCTTTTTCAATTTAGCATAAATTTGGAAACGTCAATATTTTTTTAATACCGTTATTATATTATCTATTTTATTGCAAGGTGTCTGGGTTCGAAATTATTATCCAAAAGATAATTGATTTTCCACAACAGAAGTAAATATACGCAAAACTAACATTTCTAGCATTACTGTCATCTTCTAAGTTATTTTTTAAATTACTTTTATTGTTGTAATAAATTATTTTTGTATTTCTGGAAAATCAGTTTTCTCTTTGGATTTATAGTCACGTTCAATGAACGTGCAATCATTTGCGCCAACGAGTTTGATCGACTCTCGGTTTTTTCGAAAACGTGAAAAGTCAAGAGAAGTTAATTTCACATCACCGATTCGAATTTCTTCTGGTCTCAGAAAAGTCGAAACGCTTGTTTGGCATTTAGCGCGATCAAGCTCGGGGGTGAACCTGAATGCTGGGACAGGGTACCCCTGCGGGCACGCGCCACCGCCCGCCCAAAACTCGACTCTTGACATGATCGGTTTCGAGAGGAATTGTCCAAAGAAAGACAAATGAAAAGTAGATAAAGAAAGAAAGAAATGACTTGTGCGAAATTATTTCGTTTTGCGGCGCCTTCCGCGATCTCCGGGCTCTGTCCTTCGCTCTCGCGTGGTAAGTTTACGGAACATGTTCTTTCAGCCGAGAACTTCACCGTGTGGATGCTGCGCACACATAGCGCACACATAGTTAGACGCAATATACGTGGCACTCAACGCAGCTGAGCTCCGTTCTGTGCTGTAAATTAGGCGGAATCGATCGAATCTTTGTTCGCTCTTACAGTAAATTAGCAAGGATATCCGTTAGCCGTTAAGTGCGACATCAATGATACTAGCCACATTTCCCTCATTTTGAAAAGATCCCTTTTCAGTAATTGTTCTGCCTTGTTCATTTTTATGAAAACAAAAAATGAAATCTTATATCAAGCTAAAATGACGTATCAAATTGCTACGTAAAATTTTGTTTTCGATTTTTATGCGTGACTTGTATCACTAGTTTACTTAATGGCATATCTTATCGTATAATTCGGGTAGTCGAGAGTCAAGAAATCCTTTTTGATATACTCCGACGGATTCATCGCGTTACAACGCGACATTGAGCGTGGAACCACTTTTGCTTCGCCATCGCTTTCGTTTCGCGTTGAGTATCACACTGATCGGCAGGATGACACCGATAAACGAATCGCCTTGTTCGTATGAACGGTGCAATAGCGCGTAGGCAAAGCTGTCGAGTCACGTTGACGCGATGCTATAATCTAGAGGCTAACTAGAGCAAGATGCAATGTAGCTGTAATAACGATGATTGGCGACACGAGCAGAGAGCTTGGCAAGTATACGGCTCCACTGGCTTTTCGTTGTACAGAACCTGTGGGGAGTGTACGACCAAAGTTTCCTACGATGGACAACATAAACGGACTTTCCGTGAGCTTGGAAGGCAATATACCGCTTCTGTGCCCTGCCCAAGGATTTCCAGTACCATCTCATAGGTACGATGTTCTTGATCGGAGTGCAGATTAACTTATGACTGGAAACTGTTAAATGAATATAGAGCAGCTTGCATCGGTATGGCTCAACGATGAGGTTCCTTTATCTGCTAAATTATATCTCGGACAATAATTTATAAAATGACAAGGGAATAAAGTTGTGAAGAAAATAGCAAAGGCGAATCTATTGCATCTATTTCGGAACGAATAGTATCGTATCAGGGAGGACAAGAGATAAAATTAGTATTTATTTTTTGTTAGCTCAATATTTAAATATGTTTATTTCGATTTCTCAATTAGTCTTTTATCGGTTTTATCATAAAGTTAGGTGTTTTATTAAAATAACATACGAACATTCACCTGAAAATTTTCTAGAAATAACAGAATCTCTGTAATCAGACACGGATCTTAGCTCAGACAATTCCAAACTTTGTGGTAACGATGTAGATATTATTACTTGGAAAATATTGTTTCATGGTATCGTGTGTATGTATGTGTGCACAGGGGTTCCCCGTTCCTTCTCATTGCCTTAATTAAAGCATTTATGTCATCATTCTTGAAGGCGTTCATACACATTCGAATACGATCACGACGTTGAGTCGATTTATCATCTGTCTTTTCGCAAGTGGCGACTCTTGCTT